CATAATTTTGGGTTTACTCGTTTCTCATTTTTTATTTATTTTGTCGTGTAGGTGGTAGTCTAGGCTGGAAAGTACGAGGCAGTCTGATGCAGGATTTTGAAAAGGTGGCATATGAGCTTGAACCGAGTACGACGGGGAATCCGAAGATTGGGGAGGTTAAGACGAGTGAGGGGTATCATATTATTATGGTTGAGGGGAGGAAGTGAGAGTTGGTTAAGTGAGGTGATGGTGGTGGTGGGAGAACGATTTTGTATGACTTGAGAGAGAGCGCGCGATATATGGCATTAGGGAAAAGTATGGAGTGATTGATACCCTGGTAGAGGAATGAGAATTGAAAGGGATTGATATATGTACTGTGGTACTTGGTACATGTTGGAATATGTTGATGAGGGGATCGTTCTATTTCTAATGGGCCACTGGGATTCCGTACGCCTTTGTTTACAGCACGTCCTCTATCTACGGAAGTGCCCCTGAGAAACCCTCTGCCGCTCCATTTCTATCTTGTCGACACGGAAAACCCACGTACCTCCAACAGCACGTATGGCCAGGCAAGACGTCGATAAAGCACAGGTACGAAGAAAGATCAAAGCTGGCGAGGGCTTGCCCCTGTTCTTCCCTTCTATTGCGTCCAATGCACGGATATGGAGCCTAGTATGCACATGATCCGCCCCATAGAGTAATTGGATATCGTGTAGAATTGAACGCCGCGAACGCCGATGCTCGAATATGTCAATTGTCCAGAACCATTCCCAATGCTCATAGCGTCGCTGCTGCCTCGACGGCTCCCGCAAGTTTGAACGTTTTCGGGCTTGAGATGGATATTTCGACGGGATACTTCCATTCCATAAACCTGGCCCATCCTGTTCCATAGTCAGCATCATGCCAATCTACTCTTTGTTCCTTTATGTTAAAGATGACGTACCCCAGTACGCAGCTTTCCTGCCAAAGTATTTCCCCAGATACGGCACCATGACCATTGTCAGCAGCAGTTCTAGCTGCTGCAGTGATTCTTTCCATTCCCGATCCGCATCTGACATGTATTCTTCCTCATCGACCGACGAACTTGAAGAGGAAGAGGGTAGGGAATCAACCTCGTCGACCGAGGAGTGCTCGACGAAGCTCTCGCTATTGCTCATCGACATGGCGGATTCGGTGGCGGGTGACCAGCAAAGGAAAGCGTTGGATGCGTGACTCGGAAATGCGGATTACCACCAGAACATGGGACAATTGTGAAAGCGCAATCGTGCAATGCGACGAGTACCTGTCGGGCTACGTCGGCGCGTTTGGTGATGTGACGCCGCAACCAATGAGCGGAGGTGGGGCTTGGACAGTTCTCATCACGTGATGCAAATCTTGGCTCGCAGCGTTCGACTCACACATGTGCGCTGCGGCCAAGTTCAAGGCCGCTGTTGCCCACGTCTGCTCGACGCCACCACCAACAATCACCCGCAAATAGCGAACACATCGAATTCTTCCTACAAGAATTACTACTGCAACACCGACGGAACAATCTCTGTACAACCGCAATCATGGCTGATACTGTACGTCATTTGACCCCACGCTGGGCTGTTCGAAATGGGGGAAGTGGGCATTGGGAGAAGAGCCGGATGCAAGACCGCAGGTGATCTTGCATTCCTATACATATTAGAGCGATCTGCAGTAATAGTTCAACGCAACTGTTATTGTGATCGCTTTGTATACGCTTGCATCTGGCTTTATTTTTTCCTTCTTCTGTTAAGGGCAGGCGATGCTACACTTCCCGCACATGGACGGCAGCTTGATGCGATCTTCCTCAAAAAGCTTGTGCTAACATGACTCTTAATACAGGCTGAGGTTCCCGAACGCAAGACCCGTAAGTCTGTTCAATTTTCTGAAGGCACCACGATCGTCGACAGCAACGGCGAAGTCACCGAGTCTCTGGAGGTGAACGGCGGCAAGGAATCTGCCGAGGGTCACTCCTCTGGTGGCGGTGAGATTGCTTGTGTGTAGGCAACAAAAAAACATAAACTGACGGGTAGGGCAGCGGGCGATGACAAGGAGGTCGAAGAGGTCACCGACATGTTCGCTGACCTCGCCAAGAAGGTAGGCATATACACATGTCTTGATGTGCAGCGGGATTGCTGACACAAGTACAGAAGAAGAAGAAGTCAACCAAGAAGAAGGAGGGCGAGGAGGATGACGGTGCAGAGGGTGATTTCGCTGCGCTGAAGAAAAAGAAGAAGTCCAGCAAGAAGAAGGTCGAGGATGATTTCGAGGCTAAGCTCGCCGCTGCTGGTGGCGAGAAGGCCGAGGGCGAAGAGGAGGCTGCCGCTGCTGAACCAGAAGTGCAAGAAGGTGACATGATGAAGGGCACTGGCATTTGGCAACACGACCAGACGACTCCTATCAGCTACAACCTCCTCCTCAACCGCTTCTTCACACTCCTTCACGCTCAACACCCCGATCTCGCCAGCTCAGGCACAAAGAGCTATAAGATCCCGCCCCCACAGTGCATGCGTGAAGGAAACAAGAAGACTGTTTTCGCCAACCTTGCCGAGATTTGCAAGCGTATGAAGCGTTCAGACGAGCACGTTGCGCAGTTCCTGTTTGCCGAATTGGGTACGAGCGGTTCATTTGCCGATCAGAAGCGTCTGGTCATCAAGGGCCGTTTCCAGCAAAAGCAGCTCGAGAACGTGCTCAGGCGGTACATTGTCGAATACGTTACCTGCAAGACTTGCCGCTCGCCCGATACGGACCTGTCCAAGGGTGAGAACCGTCTCAACTTCGTCACTTGCAACAGCTGCGGATCAAGGCGTTCGGTCCAAGCCATCAAGACTGGTTTCTCTGCACAGATTGGAAAGAGGCGGAGAATGGTGGCCTAGATTGTTCATTCTTATTGTGCGGGGTTTACAATGTTCAATGTTATTGCATGGCTCGGCTGGCTGGGCTTTTCGGTAAGCGGGCGCGCTTTGGACGGCTGCTTTAATGAGGGTCTCTCAGCGACATGAGGATGCTGGTGTAACATTTATTCCATGGGTAGTTTTGCGTACGTGTGGAATCAAAATGGATTCGGAATGATGAATAATGAGTGCAAGGATATCCAGTGCCAATGTGAGGGTTTTACGTGAGTGATGCAAAGATTGAAATATCGTCGACTTGAATTCACTCTTTTGGGGTATATGGGTATGATTCTTGCACCACATATGCCTATTTTAGTTTGGCCATCTTCTCTTGACAAGATGATACTACCTTGTCGGTTTAGGTGTTTAAGCGGCGCTTTTGTTACACATGATAGGACAGGGAATACGTTCTTTGTCAAGTCGATGACACTTTTCATGATGTCAGTCAAAAGTTAAAAGATACATAATTTGCCTAAGCTCGCAATGTGTCACCAGGGAGTCTAGGCTCAACAGCATGCCTTGAGCTTGGTTGCTGGAGCACAAAAAGTCAAACTCGCCCTTCACCCGTGCTTACATGATGCAATATGAGAGTTCACCTTTTGCACAGGATGCACGGGTGTGCCTATAGGGCGTAGGTATTTTTCATGTTTCGCTTTCTTCCTTGTGAGATGGCTTTTGGGATTTGCTGGGGAACCAACGAAGATGAGACCGAGTATGCAACCTGTAGCAATACTTGTGTTCTATAAGAAAGGCAGATCCGGCTAGACTCTACGTAGTGTTGGTGAACTGGTCTACGGTTAGCGTGTATCCCTTTAGAACAGCAGTAGATATTCTTCAACTGTTCAACAGCCCAAGCTGGGACCAAGTACCAGGTCAGCTATCCTCTCAAAACAGCTTGGTTTAGTGGTGTTTGTCGCATAGCGTATGGCCCCCAACGACATGGGTATGCAAAGACAGGGGGACGGCCTACAAGGTATTGATGTGAAGTCCGGCGGCACAGAGAGAAGTGGCAGAAACACGGGCTTTGATTTGTTCGTCGTGTAGTAATATGCTTGTGCATCCCCCAACCTAACCACCCAAACGACTGCAGGCGCCTCCGTCCCGTTCCTGGTGGATCGCACATGCAAAGACATACCAGGTTTGTGCAGCGTCGTTGCAGCAAAAATGGCAGCTTGTGCATGAACTACTATGTGCACTTGTGCTGCTCACCCGTCGCACCCACTGGGCGCGTGCTACTACCCAGAGAGCCCAAGGCGAATGCGGGGCGCTGATTCGGCGGTTACAAGTCCACCCCACTAACCAACAGGATGCGCGCCCGAGGCTGAGCAGCTTGACCAAGAAGACAGGAATGGCGCGCGCGGTTAAAACGCCTGTCCATACTGTTTGTGGCTGCTGATATCTCCGTAGACGAATCTAAATCTCCCTGCTCTTTCCTTCCTTCCTCTCTCCCGATTCTGCCTTGAGCCTGCGATAACCCTTCTTGCATCGCCCTTTGAGCTGCTCACTGCTAAGGCAGCTCCCGAATAAGCAATGTCAGGACACCAGCCAACTCCGCCACCAGGCGGGAACTATTACCCTCGTGAGTTACATGCTGTAAACACTATGAGGTAGCAACTGACATTGGCCAGCTCCTCCCGGTATTTCTCTCCCATCTAAACTTGTTTTCCAAGTAAACATTCTCCTGTAGATACCCTTCTGACGTATTTCAGACCAGCAACATCAACAACAGTACTTCGCGCCCCCTCCCGGCGGCCAGTCCTACCCACCACCACCCTCTTCTCCCCCCGCACACCAGCAACAACACTACCCACCCCCTCCAGCCGTAGGCGCCACCACACAGCATCACTACGCACCCCCGCCTGAGAAGCAACAATATGCGCCGCCACCCGAACAGCAGCATTACCCACCACCAGGCCAAGCGCAATCGCCCCCACCGCAGGCGCAACAACAGCAATACCAACAGCAGCCCATGAGCCCAGGCTTTGGTGGATTTGCTGCTGGAAGCCCAAGCGCAAGCCCATACCCGCCTGAGAAGCAAGGACACCCAGGCATGGGACAACCGCAGATGAGCCAACAGAGTATACCACAGCAACCGCAGTTTGTAGGCGCAGGGGCAAATGCAGCGCCTGCAACCGTAGCGGCCGATGACGTTGGCACATTCAACGGAGGAAGTTTCCGCGTGAGCCACCGGGACACGAATACGATTCTTACCATACAACTGGCAATGGGCTGTCCATTTACCGTGAAACCAGGCTCCATGATTGCAATGTCACCCACCATGACGCTAAAAGGCAACCTCAAGTTCTCACTCAAGAAAGCCCTCATTGGCGGCGAGATGTCCAAATCCATATACACTGGCCCCGGCGAATTGCTCCTGGCTCCCCCGGCAATCGGCGACATCACCATCATCAAGCTCGGCGGCAACGATACCTGGAGTCTGGGGCGCGACGCCTTTCTCGCGTGCACGCAGGGCATAGTGATGGAGCACAAGAGCCAGGGTATAAGCAAGGGCATGTTCAGCGGTGAGGGGTTCTTCGTGTACAAGATTAGTGGCACGGGAATCCTGTGGTGTACGAGTTTCGGGGCCATTATCAGGAAAGATGTGAGTCTTTTTTTTTCTTTCTTTCTTCTTCTTCTTTTCTGTTTCCCATTTCTCATCTAAAAAAACGCACCTTTTCCCTTGGTAACTTTTTTTTCTTTTAAGTGAATAATTTCGTACTGACATATGTGATTTCTTTTGCTAGCTTGCCGCCAACGAGAAATATATCATCGACAATGGCCACCTGGTAGCGTGGAACTGCAAGTACGTGCTTGAGCGCGTGGCCAGCGGCGGCATCGTGAGTACCATGGCGGCAGGCGAGGGCCTGGTGTGCAAGTTTACGGGCCCGGGCACGGTATTTATGCAGACGAGGAATGCAACGGCGTTTGCACAGTTTATGGCTTCTCATGCTACGGCGTAGTTTGGAAGAGTAGGACGGTTAGGTGGGGGGATGGGGTGTGTGTGTAAGTTGACTTTGAATTATTCTTTGTGTAGAAATACCTTTGGGGAAGAAATTTATGGATTATCACGTTTCGGTGTACTCTCCGACTATTTTTCTTTCTTTCTTTTCGTTCTTTCAAGACTCATCATGCATGAGGTGCTGGCGCAAGATGGGAATGAAATAGTCAAGTAAAGATGATGTTTGGTCATGCCAAATGCTTCATTATTTTTTCCCCCTTTACGCCCCCCGGGCTATTTTGTCTAAAATAGGCGCATTCGAAACTAAATCAAAGATTTGCTCATGGCCAAATCAATCAAACGTCGTCTTCTTACCCTGCGACTCGACAATGGCCTGACTTGCCCTCGGGGCACTCGAATGCGCAGCACCACTCTTGATGGTTCGCGGATCCACCTTGCGCTTCGACCCATTGCCTCGCTCGTTGTTCCCACGGCCTGCTTTACGATCCCCACCGCCGCCTTGATCAAAGTTCCTCCAGCGATCCGGGTTGACGCCATCAACAGCCTTGACGGGCTTGTCCTTGCCCCACCGCTTGTTGTACCTTGTCGTTGCATCTTCGGCAAACTCGCAGCGCAACTCGCGCCCCATGAACTTGCTGATGAACCATTTCCTCTTCTTCTCGGGTTTCGCATCTTCGTCGTCATCGTCGTCGTCGTCGTCGTCGCTATGGCCCCTTTTGCCCTTCTTTTTGAATTCGGCCGCGTCTTTGAATACGAAGCCCTTGACGGCCCATGTGGCGGATTCGACGTCGGCGAAGGTGATCCATGCGTAGCCCTTGCATTTGCCCGAGTCTTCAAAGGTAGCCATGTGAATGTCTTCGATGTCGCCGCATTGCGCGTAGTGTTCTTGCAGGTCTTGTTTGGTCACGTCGAAGGAGAGGTTGCCGATGAAGACACGCTTATTGGGTGGGTGCCCGGATTTGTCTGCGTTGCCTGCGCGGCGATTGTCCTGGCCTTCTTCTGTCTTTGGTTTGTCTGGTCGTCCCTCGAAGCTCTTTGCGTTCTTGATGAGTAAGGCGCGGCCGTCCATTTTGGTTTCTGTCAGGGCAATGGCTGAGTACATTGCTAGTTCTGTGGAGAAGTCGACATATGCGAAACCCTTGTTCAGAGGCTTGGTTGTCCAGCTTGGATTGACCTTTGTGGGTGGAGGCATGTGAACGCGGGTTATCTGGTCGCTTGCGATTTCTGAATTCTCGGACAGAAATGTTCGCAGTGAGTCCTTGGTCGCAGACCATGGCAGGTTACCGATCCATACACCGTAAGCTGATCGCTTGCCGTCTGCATCCTTGGTCCCCTTTGCTTCGCCATCTGTCTTTGTGCCAGCGTCTCCTCCTTCTCCCTCGGCGGCGGGTGCAGGGTTCAGCTTCGCTTTCTTTGCTTTGCGGGCGGCTTTCTTGGAGACGGGCTCCGGGAGGTTGACATCGATTTCGAGCTCTTCAGGCAGGGTATCTCGTTTGCGCTTCTTTGCTGGTGTCTCTGCTTTTACTGGTGCTTCCTCTTCACTGGCGCTAGCTTCTGCGACCTCATTCTTGGGCTCGGACTTGGAGCGCTTCTTCTCTTTCTTTTCCTTTTTGTCTTTTTTCTCGCGGCGCTCCTTCTTGGAAACGGCGAGGGCGTCGTCGGAAGAGGTCATGTCGATATCCTTGGACATTGTGTTGTGCTTGATGGTTGGTCTAGCTGCATTGACTTTGAACTTTTTTCTGGGTCCTGCATTTTCGCTTCCTTGCAGCCAGCGCTAGCACTAGGAGAAGACGGGCTTAGTCATGTTCTGTCCACGCTAAGCACCAGCAACGGGTGTCTATCACTATCACCATCACTATCGATAACGACTTCCCTTGGCTTGGTTCTTACGACTCGTGCGCATGGTTCTTCTGACAAAGCTTGCACCTGTGCGGTCTTGAGTGGCTCTCACCCAGTGCCAACAAGTTCTGTTGTGGCGCCAATCACAACGAAGCCGTTGCGCGACGTGGCGATGCAGGCTGCGTTGTACTCTACGTAGGGGCCGTTTGAAACACCGCACTGGAGAAGGGCCCCGTCCACGTACAACGGCGTTGGCATTCTCACCAGATATGGGCCGGAGCGGCGAAGCGGCGAAGTGAGGCGAAGACATGGACGGCCGTCTTTCCGGTCTTGACCATGTTAGTGAAACGCTATCTCAGATGATCAGCTGGTACACTGGGCGGCCATCACGTGCCGTCAAATTGGGTGGCGTCATCAGGGCGAGCAGGACCGTCTTTGGTCAATTCAAGCAACGGGCGAGGAGACAGCGAGGCAGGTTGAAGGCAAAGGCAACCATCTTCTGGCGACGAGGGGCTCACCGACTGGCGACGTATCCTGCAGCCTGGGGCGGTCCACAACCACTGGATCGACGCGGCCAGTCCAGGTACAGCACACTGCCAGAGACATGCACGACATCAGCGCCGCTCCAGCTTCGGCTTCAGCTGTGTGAGACGAGCCTCTTGCCGGCGAGCCTTTTACTCAGCAAAATGGGCAAAAAAGAAACATCGCCCGCCCCCCCAGGCCAGGACTGTGCCAGCCTCCAAGTTGGAAAGGGAAGCTTTGGCAGTCCGGTGGCCGCGTCGTGCTCACTTAGCGTGCCCTGGTGCTAAGCACTGACCCCACTCAAGGCAGCTACCATTACACGTCCAGCTGCTCCGCTGCCGTCTCACTTGCTCCACCTCCACCTCCGCCTTTACATCTCCATCACCCTCCCTCAACAGCAACTCTCTCTACACCTGTTGCTGCACTCCCCCCCCTCCCCCCTCCGCTCGCAAACAGCGGTGCCCGGCAGACTGCGTTTGCTCTGTCCGCTCCTTTGTGCACTCGCCTTCACCGCCAGCCTTGCTTGCCCATCATGGCGGCGACTAACCCCGTCCCCGTGACGCTCGACACGCCCATCGTGGTCAAGGTCCTGTTTCGCGGCCAGACGAAGAAATTCAAGCTGCCTCTAAAGGACCTTGGAGCTCATGTGCTTCCTGACAAGGTCCGTATACTCCCATGCAGCTTCATGTCCGGCACATGCGGACCGCAACTTGGCTCTGGAATGTGGCGGATCACTTGAACATGCCAGTACTGACTGTATGCTCGCTCACAGCTCCGAGCTATCCTCGCACTCCACCAAGACAAGGATGTTCTCTTTGAGCGCTACTCCGACTCGGCTGCTGCGTACGTCACCTTGGACGCCGACAAGCCCCAGGTCTACAAGACGCTCTTCCGCGCTGCAAAGGCCAAACTCAAGCTTCGTCTGAGGGTCTCCATTCCTGGCGAGGAGCCTGTGCCTGCGCCCACGCCTGCGCCTGCAGCACCTCAGGAGACACCCGCCGAAGCTCACGAAACGAGCTCGGATGATCTTGCCCAGGAGAAGGTTGTCACGCCGCCCGTTATCGCTCGTTCGCCCGACTCCAAGTCGATTCGCTCAATTAGCTCTGTTTTGCTACCAAAGACCAACGAGAAAGAGCAAGAAGCACCAGTGCCTAAAGCTTTCACGACTCAACAGGGTAGGCATCAACCACAAGATTGGTCATAAAGCATGTGGCTAACATGGAACCCAGATTTCTTTGGCAACCTCACAGCTGCTGGCAGCAACTCGAGTCTTGCCTTCCGCCCCAAGCCAACCAACGTGTGTACGTCGTGGGTTGTGTACTGCAACAACTGCAACGAGCCCATGGAAGACGAGCACTACCACTGCAGCGTATGCGACGGAGGCGACTATGACCTTTGCCCGGCGTGTGTCAACAATGGCATCCACTGCCCCGGAAACAGCCACTGGATGGTCAAGCGCTTCGTCAAGAACGGCGTCGTTGTGAACAGCACAACCCAGCGCATTGCACCAAAGGCCAAGGCCGAGGCGGAAGCCGAGGCCGAGACCGAGCAGCCTCAGGAACAAGAGGTTCCTGGCGCCTTCACCGAGGAAAAGCAACCTGTTGTGTATGAAGAGGAGCCAACTCGCACCTGCAACTGCTGTGTCAAGGTTTTGCCAGAGAGGGAGTTCGTCACATGTGTCGCTTGCGATGACTACGACCTTTGCCTGCAGTGCCACATCAGCAACAAACATGGTCATCACCCTGGTCACGCTTTCAAGGCTGCCACTAGTGAGACTGTCCTACCCACTCTCGCCGATTTCCTGTGCAACTCTGGAAGGAATGTCCGCCACTCGGCCGTCTGCGATGGTTGCGACAAGTTCATTTATGGCGTTCGCCACAAGTGTCTGAACTGTCCTGATTGGGACTACTGCACGGATTGTGTAAAGAACGCCAGGTTCATTCACCCCCGCCACCGCTTCGTTCCCATTTACGAGCCTTTGGCTGAGCCAATGAGCAGCCCCAACCGCCACTACGGCATCTACTGTGATGGGCCTCTCTGCAAAGACAAGGAAAACCTGTCCTACATTGAAGGCATCCGCTACAAGTGTGCCGTCTGCCACGACACAGACTTTTGCCAGAACTGCGAGGCCCATCCCAGCAACAAGCACAACCACACGCATCCTCTCATCAAGTTCCAGACACCTGTGCGCAGCGTTAGCGTAACAACTGTCAACGATGACAAGGAGGGCAAGTTGCTCTCTCGCCTTGGTGATCGTTTGGCTGCCAGGCGCTCTACCGCCACTGAGACTACTTCCGTCGCTCCTTCTGTGGCTCCTTCCGTCGCTCCTTCTACTAATGCCGCGACACAAGTCCAGACTATTCTTGATGTGAAGCCAGAGGAGTCCCAGGCTAAGAAGGAGAAGATTACCATCAGTGATCTTCTCGTCGACTCCATTGAGCCAGTCCAGGAGAAGGTCGTTGTACCTGCCGAGGAGAAGCCCGTCAAGTCGGAGGCCATTCCGATCCCCCGATCTGAGACCGCTGCGGATGGACTTGATGCCCACTTTATTCGGGATACCATTCTTGATGGTTCCAGGATCTCTACCGGCGCCACATTTGTCCAGATCTGGACTCTTCGCAACCCAGGACCAAATGCCTGGCCTGCTGGATGCAGCGTTCGCCACGTTGGTGGTGACAACATGCTCAACATTGACAACAGCCGTCCATTGAGCCACACGGATCTTGCCGAGGCCAGCGAGAGCAACGTCTTGGATGATGCCGTTCAGCCCGGTGAGGAGGCTCAGTTCCGTGTTGTCATGAAGGCGCCCCAGCGTGAGGGCACCGCAATCTCATACTGGCGCTTGAAGACTCCCTCGGGCATGCCCTTTGGCCATCGCCTGTGGTGTGACATTGCCGTCATTGCTGCACCAGCACCCGCAGAGCTACAACAGGCCACTTCCAGGCCTGGTACTGCAACCACTTACGAGGTTGCTCCTAGGTCTAACCCAATGTACGAGCGCCTTGTTCAGGCAAGAGCCGAGAGGGAGAGGGTAAAGCACATGCGCCAGACTCACTTGCAGCAACTTGAGCAGAACCACCATCAAAAGATGGAGCAAGTGCAGCGTGTTCGCAAGGCTGCTGTCGAGCGTCTTCTCGAGCTCCGTCGCAAGGAGCATGAGGCTGCCCTCGCTACTATCAAGCAGGAGCCCGTCTCACCAAAGGTTGAGACTGCCCCTGAAGAGCCAGCTGTAGAGGCAGTTGAAGAGCCAGTCGCCGAGCCAGTCGCCGAGCTCCCCAGCCCAGAAAAGGCCTCGGAGCCTGAAGCCGGACCTTCATCCTCTGGCATGATTTTCCCTCGGCTCGACAAGGAGTCACCTGCGTCAAGTACCTATCAGCCATCTCCTGCTGCCCAGCCTATGTCTCCTCTTTCCACAAAGAGCACTGTGGCTCGTACTATTACTGTAGCTTCGGATGATGAGTTCTTCGAGGATGCCGAGAGCGTTGCACTGCACTCCGACGATGGGTTCTTGACTGACGAGGAGTATGATATCCTCGACGCTAGCGATCAGGAGATGCCATAAGTAGATCTCAGAGAGGTCATAGGCTGGGCATATTTTCAAGTGCAAAAGCCCGCAAAATGCTTTAGGCCGGTGTTTCATGGATTTGGGTTCCGGGTGTTCGGCTTATGGATGGCGTACAATGTGGTATTTCAACACACTCTCTAAGCAGAAGGCGCTGGTGTGCCACACACGCAACACACTGCGCTGTGCGGGCGGCACCAGGTCTGCTGCCGTTTTCTTATCCCTTGCGAGAATTTGAACCTTTCCTTACCTCTTTCTTGTGTCATGTAAGTGTAGTGGGTAATTCTATTCTCTTAACAGAACGTGTGCATCCGATCGTGAAAACTAGTGAGACTAGGCTGGCCCAGCCAGCCTTGGTGATTGATTTGCAAGCAGGGATGACTACGTCTCTACGGATAATGTATGTTTGGTGGGTTACACAGTGTGTGTTTGACATGATACATCGTCACACCATCGGCTCCAAGGAGACCGGCACGGGTTTGAGAACTGAGTGAGTTCCTTACAATCTGACGTGTATCTGATGGTGAAGAACGTACCAGTGTCACAAGTCATGACGTAAATCTCTGTTATACACCAAAGTATATTGGCATGACCGACTTCATACATACCGTAACTCTTTCCATTGCGAATAACAACCCTTCCATGGTTCTTCGCTGCCCCCATTTCCCCACAAAGCTACACCGACGTATCGCAGGAAAAAGACAAATCGCTTAACCCAAAGTTGCCTGTCGTCACCCATAATATGCCGGGAATTACGAGTCAACCGCCTAGGAGCCGCACGGCTGGGGCCCCGCCCATGGCGTCCGCCCCGAATGCGAAGGATGGAACCAGCCCCACTTGAATTACTCGTACTTTTTCCCTCTGCGTGATCACTTTTTTTCCAATTCCTTTCCCCTGTATTCTTCATCGTGTGGGGTTAACATTTGCATTGCGGTACTGAGGAGAAATGTGGTTGTGGCGCATTCCAGGACATGGGAGCTTACAGATTTCAACAAAGCTATGATCGAATGCATGTTACCAGGTCCATTTTGCTTACGCAGTTGAACATTTTAACTCCTACAACCTTTCAATAGCTATTGAATTTGCTGCATGTCTGGTTGTGAGTTGCATTTTTCCCCCCTGGCCACGCAAATTGATACGTGTTGCATCTAGAACGGCTAACTCAGGACAAACAAGAAAAAAAATTAGAAGGCGAGTCCTCAACTAGTATTATGAACGATAGACGGGAAGTAGTCCATATGTTCCGCTTGAAGGAGTGCCCACTGCTCTTGTTGACTCTGGTTGTAATACACAGCTAAAGCTGCCATTCCAAGGTTTCTAATAAGATATGGTGTTTCGCTGCAATTTTCAAGCATAGAGTTTCGCCACTGCCGCCCACACATAGTTTACTCAGTAAGCCCTTGATAGAGGTGTGCCATACAGTAAGAATAGTGAGACTGCGATATTGGAGCCAGTGGGAACTCTAGAACTGAAGTTGATCTGGAGATTTACCACGAAAAATACCATACCGACTGTCTATAGAGTCACCGTAACACGTCTGCATTAACTGAGGTCTGCGATCCACCATCTTCACTCATTTGTGCGAGCATATGATAATCTCACACCAACAAACATTATACTTAACAAATTTGATGCTCCCGCCATGATGGATTACTGTTCATGTTGACCATTTGGGAAGGCACTCGGCACAGCGAGTACGCCAGCGTGGATTGACGAAGACTTCATGGTTTCTGCGCAAAGACAGAATCATTTTGCGTCGAGAAAGATCTAGTGATAGATAGAAAAGACGGCAAGAGCTGTACAGTATATGAGAGTAGGGTAGGGAATGCAACCGTGTATCTCAATTGTCCATGTCCAAACAAACCTCGTTCAACCATATCGCGCATCGTTTCATTAGGACAAGGCACTGGTTGCTCCATCATAGGTTGATGTAAATCATGTGAGACAATGGTTGGATTTTGAAAAATGTAAAATCACCAACGTTGAGGTGCATCAGTCAACATGAATTCACCGTGGGACAATGGGTTTAGTGCGCTTGCTAAAGCGGATAGGGATATGAGTCCAACTTGCGCGGGTTTGTCATAGCACTCACTCCCGACAAGACTCTTCAACTGCTCCATTTGCCAAACGTGCTATACCGACTGCCGCCTAGAATCATGAGCGCGAATCCCAGATACGAAGGCTACAACAATGAGGGTAGCCGTGAAGCCCAGATTGCACTTTCTGCGCTTGCGCGCACCCTTCACATGAACCCGCTAATACTCAGGATTGCTCTTTCTAATGCTTTCGATCTGCTGGAAACCACCGGTGGCAATCCCACGCTCGCACTGCACATAAGCTTCAATCGGCTGAACTACTGTATCGACAGCAACACACTGGATAGGATCATCGCAACTTTCCGTGATGCTGTTGCATTCATGCTCAGTGACAAAAAGGGTAAGTGGAACACGAAGCGATGATGCTCCATGCTGATGAAGTTGCTCAAATCACACAGCGAGCACGCAGACAGCTCCAATACCATACTACAGTCAAGTTCATACTCCTGCAGCACCACGGTACCGATGCATCGCACCAAAGGTTGGCTATAATATTCAAGGGGAGTCTATAGGCCATGGTGCAGGTTTCAATGTGCCCACTGTGCCTTCAAATAGGGGCGTGAACTTGCCATCGTCGGTCGGAGAGTACGAAGCAATTCTGAGCCAGATTGTACAGGGAGGTCATCCTATGGATTTCATCAACAAGGAGTGGAAATAAATTGCTCTATCTACTGGGCTTGAGAAGCCTGTATTGGACAGGCTGTCTCTCGTTGATTTTCCAGAATAAAGATCTGGGTCTCAGGTTAGTTAGTTGTGATGTATCATTGGCAATTGAAAGTGATGGTTTGACGGAACGAAGAATGTGTCGACGATGGAAGAATAGTAGAAATTATCAAAACTACATCAACAATATTGATTGAGGATGTCCATGAAATTGTGAACTACTCAACGCAGTCTTTGACGGCTGGTCATCAGGTTCAACCCCAACCCCCCCCCCCCCTCCAGTCTCCACTATTAGCAACAATAGTATGAATACATGAGCAACTCGCCCCCTCTGCTGAAACCTGAGAACATTTTCCAACAAACAGCGAACAGGCAGTGGAAGTGACACTGGTCTGCAGCTGATCTCTCGCTTAACGGAGTGAAACGGCTTTTGGATAGTGAATTAGGTATTTTTCCTTGGTCTGCCTTGGTCAGCCTTCACTCCACACCGTCGGTGCCTTGATAGAAACGTCATTTTCATCTTCTAGCCCCTCGTGCGAACGATGACCCTTCAGCATATATATGGCCCACTGCCAACCATATTTCTCCCTTCAACAATCTCGACAACCAATACAATCAAGTAACTCGATTACCAATACAACCGAGTGACCATGACCGATCAAAACAACGGTCAAAACAATACAGACAACCCACCCCAGCGGGGTGGATACACTCGCTTCATAGAGTTGGAGGAGTCGTTGTTTCCCGACAACGAGGGAGACTTCGCCTCCTCCTTCATGAATCCCAGAAGGCCGGGAAATCAATCGGATCGGCGTAAGTTTCAATGATTCAAAACTTGCATATCTTTCAGCAACTAACGTTCTCCCGTCTAGCTGCTCCCTTCGACCCGAGGAATTCGGGCGAAGCCTGGCGTTATGTCAGGAACAGGGTTTGGACTGGAGAAGCATTCATATATGCTTCTCCTCCCCGGCCAGAGGAGCCAATGGATTTTGACCCATCACAAAATCCATTCTTCTCAAAAAATGGCACGTCAGAAGTGTCAGGATCCCCACAGGCCGGGGAATCGTCGTACTTTGGGAATCCCCAAGGTTCCGGTTCTGGTAAGAATAATACTACTACTCGATCGTTACTTGTACCTTCTGCTAACACACCACTCTACAGTTTCCGGACTTCAAAGCTCCCGTGGCACGACAAGTCAATCGGCCACGAGAAAGCCCCGACAACAAGACAAGGACAAGTTCCAATTTGTCGGGTGGAACGATGAAGCCAAGCGGACGCTATACCGCTGGAAACGGATACTGAAGAAAGGCCCGTCTTTCTTCCTACACCAGTTCCCGGGGGAGACCGAAGCATCGGTGCGAGATGCTTGGGACAAGTACGGCGAGGAAGGGAAGCGGCTGTACGAAGAGTGGGAGGCTGCAGAAGAGGAGTAAGGCGCGATTGCCACATTTTCCAAACCTTTCGAATAGCCTCCCATTCTTCGAAAACTTCAGTAACATAGGCTTGGGGGTCCGTACGACACACGCACACACCGGCAGTGTGGAGGGAGCTTCCACAAAGCCAAAGAATAAAGCCGCGAAAAGAATCCATCCAGACAACAAAACCGGGGTGGTATCCCAGACGGAGTAGATCTGGCTATCCTCAGCGATATCATCAACAATATGCGCGCTCTCACGAACCCGAGTCAAGTCCGTAATACAATCGCCAAATCCAACAGTCGGGCGCGTGCCGGTTGGATTTGCACGTGGCGCATCACTGACAAACGCGGCGAATAGACGAGATATGTCCTCCCTCAAGAGGCATGCTCAGCCAAGTACAGTCAGTCGAATGCAAGTACGCGAGAGAACCCGATGCTGGTTCCCAGCGACGACGAAATCAAGAACGAACCCATTGTCGTCTCGAGTGATGAAGACAACGAAGTCCACTATATCTGGACCAATCGAAGAGCCGACTACTTCCTAGATGGAGAAATGTTGATGGCAATTCATCTAGATGGTTTGCTTTGCTGTAGAGTAAATTTATAACTAGAGGAAAGAAAAATAAATAAAAAAACACCGTGAGATCCCCTCACGGGAAATGCTAACGTGGGATTTGAAGATGGCTGTAGTGTATGGATATCTTCTTCCTCTGTTTAAATCTTTCTTTGTAGATGATATCATGATGTAGGACTGAGATTTTAGCGAGGATGAACGAAATTTCGAGAGTGGATGTGATCATGATGCTTGGAACGGTGGTAAGATAGTACATCGAATAGGTAGGACTCAACAAGATTGATTGGTGTAATGCGGTGTCAATGGCAACTCTCAATTTTTGTGGGCAGCAGCTCAAGCTCTGCTGGTACTTGAGTAGTATATGCATGCTGTGAATACGGAAAGGTCTAAGCCTTGTGATGTTGCAGTTTCGGATTTGCGGCTGCGGTCACTTGGTGATTGCGATTACAATCATGTATTTACGACAGGTGGTATTGATGTTGTTCCTCGTCATATGATCTATTCACGTGGAAGATTCAGCCAATCACCGCCGGCGTAGCAGGCTCGGATGCTACCAACACCCGCAGAGCTGTGTCGGGTTTGACAGCGGACTATGTAACTCGTGTCGCACACGTGCGACAGTGATTTGAGTGGCATCCGGTGTCACTTGCAGTACGATTCCGCCTGGTGGTGGATCTACTTGGTGTCAGGTGTTACGTAGTTTCTGCCCTCCCAACGGTACGTATCAGACGCGAGCGAGACCAAGCAGATCGCTCAGTCGCATCAATCTACACTATACCTACCTCCACGAAACCACGGACCATCAATTTATCGAAGAAACGTTCATTCTTTTCACATACAGCTATAGCAGAGTTTGATATACTAAACAAATAAAGATAGGTGTTATGCATTGTTTGATTCGAAACTCGCTTGCACGCTAAATTTGGGCGTGCGTAGTACTTCCTTACTAGTATACACAACCACCGTCTTCTAAATCATTCTTGGTGTCCGTGGCGTCGCACCCAGAACAGGCACATGAAAAGCTTGACGAAGATGCTTGGTCTTCGGAAGTCTTGGAATGAGCACCCGTAGAAGGTCCAGGAGTCCACATCACAAATAGCTATGAAGCTAAACCGAGCTGTGACGATCGTGTAACGTAGAAAGCGCGCTTTCGCCCCATCACACACCAGACCTTGGTGTGCATTAGTGTTTGACACACGGTTTCTACCATGCGTAGTTTTTCAAGCATCCAGGCAATGTTCTAGATGCGTTGCATCTGGCGTTTGTCAGTGACGCCAAGGACGATGCCCAGGACGGATGGCGGACGTAAGCATTTTGCTGCTAAGACTCAACGCCTGTCAGTGGTAGCACTTTGATATAAAACCCATCTGGAGTGCCCTCATAGCTTGCTCGTGCTTCTACACTCATTTGACATTCGGTTACACTCGCTGCCGGACAGTCTCATTTCAAAAACTCATTCACTTCGAACAATCCCATTTCAATCAACATGAGAGTCACTCTGGATTTGACATTCGGACTCGCACTTTTCTCAACCGTCAATGCTTATGTAATTTCTTCTCGCAACGCTGGAACGGACAACGTGCTTCCTTCCCGGAGAATCGGAGCAGTACGTAAATCATAGCAGAGTGACTGCTACTGCAGCCCACTTTAATCAGTTTATCTTGAATACTTACACCTATACTAGGTAAGAGGCATTTCCTCATCACCCCGCGCCACTTCTATCCAGCGTGATGCAGACGTCGGCCATGGAGTTCACCGCCGCAATCCTCAAGGCCTGATGATCGGAGGTCTTACTCTCGGTGGACCAGGTGGCGGCATTACTGGAGATGGCCTCAACCTTGGTGGCAACGGCAACAATGGAAACGGCACTGCGATGGATGCGGGAATGAAGGGCAAGAAGCCTAAGAAAGGTAAGGGAATGATGGGCGATAAAGGAATGCCACCGATGCCACCGGGGCCACCGGGATGCGCCGCTCCGCCGCCCCCTGCTGGAGGAGGCTCAGCTGCTGGAGGAAGCTCAGCTGCTGGAGGAGACTCATCTGCTGGAGGAGGCTCAGCTTCTGGAGGAGACTCATCTGCTGGAGGAGACTCATCTGCTGGAGGAGACTCATCTGCTGGAGGAGACTCATCTGCTGGTGAAGGAGCATCTGCCGGTGCTTAGGCGGAGTCTGTGGGCGGAAACAAGGCTACTGAAGAGTCCGAGCAGTTCTCTGAAGAGTCCGGTATCAGCCTTGGCAAGTCTGGCGAAGCTGCGAACCTTGGCGGAAACCTAGGAATCACAAAAGGCTCTGATGGTAACAGTTCTGTTGGCGGCAAGAACGGTATCAACGTTGCCGCTCGCGGATACTAAGCAACTGTTACAGTCAACAGCGAGGTGTGGATCATGGAGATGTCTCTATCCAGCCTCTATGCTGATACATCTCACACTTTTTCTCCACATATTCAAGCAGGTGGAACGTCTCTTTCATGGTGTCGAAGCTGGCCATGTTTCGCGTTGTTCAAGATTGTTCAAGATTGCTGCCTTCCCTCACCCGGTGTATGGTAGTGCGGTGAGATAGTTCATAGTCCATCACTTGTAGATACAAAAGAATGTTATTCCATGCACCTTGAACATTTTTTTTCATGGTTTTTTCTTAGGTTTTGCCTCTGCTCATTTCGCACCTCACTCAAATGATATCCAAGACTGATTTTGTACGCGTGAACGGTGAAAGGGGTGCACTGTGCAGGCACGGGCTATGAGTCACTCATAAGGTGGCAGCGACCTGAGTCTGCTCCTGACATCTACACCTCACAAACACTCTGATATCTACTATCAACTCCGACGTGATGACTTCTACAGGTATCGGCGACGGCAAGGACGATGCTGAGAACCACCCCAAAGGTTTGCAGCAAATTCATCAACCGATGGACGATGCCGTCATGTTGCATGGCTCCAAGTTTTCCAATGAAGCTGTCAAACAACCTACTCTGACTGAAAAGAAACAGTCATCATCCTGGCTTGAGATGAATGCGTTCCAGCTTGAGATTCAGCGCTTGAAAAGCGACATTGATACGCGCAACGCTTACACCCGGAGTCTCGAGCGGGACAATGCAAAGACTGCTTCTGTGATGTTGGAGAACGAAGCACTCCACAAAAAAGTGAATGAGCTTGTCAAGAACTTGGACAGCAAAAACACCGAACTATATACGCTCAGAAGTGCCGTCGCTAGCTCGGCCAATATAGCTGAAGAGGCAGCCCACATGCGCGTCCAGATGGAGGCTTTCCCAATAATTTCTCTCGCGCTGGCGTTTTCGATGATCAATCTGTTGTTGGAGTCTACGAAGCACGAAGCCCAGGCCGATGACACTACTCGTACCCAGGCTTCAGTCAATGACCTGCAGGTAAAGCTCACCGACGAAAAGAACATCAACAAGCAACTCACTATGGAACTCGCTGAGAGTAAGGATAAAATCAAAGACATCACTGGTGTAGCCAAGACCTTGAGATCCCAGAACAAGGGTATTAAGAGCAAGGTCAAGGAACTCCAAGAGAATCTGGGTTCTACCGAGAAAGCTCGAGATTGGTAAGTTTGCCGCACAGTCATCCTATTGTATTACAGCAATCTCCACATTATTGTCAACCACTTGATCGGAAGACCACGACCCTTGCTGTCGTCATCATTTTATTTGGCCTTTTATATTCATAGAACATTTTAGCCCCCAGATTGATTGACATGTATGCAGGTACTACAAAAATTATACTCAGACATTCCAGCGCTGCAACACACTCGAGCAAGAAAACGCTGCACTAAAAGAAGAGAAAAGAGGCCTCTCTGAGAAACTGACCAATCAACTACATAGCCTGGGTGGTTTAGTCACAGACCTAGACCTCGTTCAAGAGGAAATTCGCATCTACGTCTGCCCGCATGACGACTTGAGAACCATCTACTCAGCAACAGCAAAAGTCACACAGTTAAAGAAAGCGTGGATGATAGCAAGCGAGATTTGGAAGCTCTGTGAGGACGAGAACAAGTTCCTGAAGGCATATGAGACATCAAGACAAAACATTCTGGAGCATCACCGTGCACACGAGAGGGCACTGCATAAGAATGGACATCTTAGGAAGAGGATCAAGGCGGCGTTTGAAGAGCTGGATCAGAGGAGGCAGTTTTGTATCAAGTACACCTGAGGGACTTGTTACATACCGGAGATATGGCTGCCGTACCGCGAGGATGTGGTTGTACTGGCGATGTGTGAAATACTCAAAATGATGCTGATACATCAGAGACGTAACGCAAGTACGCATACGTACTCAAGCTAATTCAATCCATAAAATTCCACACCTCAGCCTCTTTCCTCCAAATACCCTATCCCATCTACTCCCCAAAATGACTCTCAACATGTCTCGCAACAGCCACCTCATCCCCCTCAAAAACCCCACAAACCGGACAAACCGCCGTCTCCCCTCCCCCTCCGCCATGCCCTCCCCTCCCTTGGTCATACCGTCTATCCGCCTCCTCCAGCGCCGCAAAAAGACCCCTATCAACCTCCCCCCGCCTCGCCTCATCAAAAAAATACTCATCATTCTCCCGAACATCCCTCTCCATCCTCCCTCCTCTCCCACCACCCCTCACCTCCCCATCCCGCCCTAACCCCGCGTCCGCCCCGCCAACCAGCGCCTCGCCCCTCTCCCCCTCCGCCTCACTAACAAGGCTCTGCACGCGGCCCACACGACCATCTCGCAGACGCACCTTGACGCCCCGCGGATGGTCGCCGCGGGTGAGGACATCAGCCACGATACCGGAGACACGGTGGCCGGTGGGTTGGTCTTGTTTGAGGATCAGGGAGACGGGGGTGCCGGCGTGGATGGAGGCGTAGGCGGGGACCGCGGTGTATGCTGGCGATGGGCGGGCACCACCACCACCCCGGCGCGAGGACCCACGGGTGCCTCTGGAGTTGAAGGATGAAGGTCCACCTCTTCCTCGGCCTCGGCCTTGGCCTTGGCCTCGTCCTCTGCTGCCGCGATCGGATGAGTCGCCTCGGGGTTGGCGGTTGGGATGGCCTCTTCGTCCTGTTTGCATGGTTCTTTGGATCTTCTTTTTTTTTCTCTTGTGGGCGGGTAGTGTGTGTGAGGGGTTTGTCCTTGCTTCTATTGTTTGAGAGAATTAGAGATGGAATCAAAACGGTGGTTTCCGGGACCAAAAGTGTTGTATTCCCTCTTTTTTTTCGACCACTTCTCTTCTTCCTTGGGGAACTTAGATGGGCGATTATTAGAGTGTGCTCAGTTTCATTTCTTTCGGTCGCTCTTTTTTTTTTGCACGGAAAAGCCGAATAGACACTTATACCAGAAATATAAGTGCTATCCTAAACGAATATAAAAACCTGGCTAATATACCCCCCCCCCCCCCCACAAAAGACCGGCAAATAGAAATGCTTGTTTAAAGAGCCTCAATGACAAGACGTCAAGGATAAACAAACTGGCTGTGAACATTTCAAGACTAGCGTTGATTACGTCATTTCGTGATTTCTCCTTGGTAGAAACGATGCGCCTCTAAAAACATATCAGTACGTACTCTCTTCACATTTGATCTCTGCAAATTCCTATTCATAGTAGCAACACGATTGTCTCCAGAATCATAGTAGTAGTGGGATTCAAAACGATGAACCGATCTTCAGCTGGGATTTTTCGCTATGTAAGACCTTATCCTGGGACCTGTCAAAGAACCCTCCAAAAATGTTTGAGAAAACCATCTAGTCGCAAACGAAAGACGCCAGGCAATGCAACAAACGCAACAGCCCCAAATACAGGAGAAGCGACACCAAGCGACCGTTGTACGAACCTACCGCTCGCGCGACTCCTGTACCAACGCCATATATGAGAGATCTGCCAGAAATGTGTCGTGCCAAAGGGGTATACACATGAATCAAAGGTCGTCTTGGTGTATTCCAAAATACGTTTTGGGTATCCAACAACGACGAGTATTTCTCGGTCTTTAGAAAGGGAAACCACCGGGTGGTCCCCTGCTTCGGCCACCACCAGGCATGCCGCCCATGCCACCAAAAGGACTGCCGCCGCCGGAGCTGAAGTGGAAGCCACCTCCACCGCCTCGGCCGCCTCCCATACCACCTCCCATGCCGCCAAACATTTGCATGACTGTGACTGATGTTAACTCTGGGTCATTTAATGAATGTCATAACGTCACTTACGAATTTCTGGGTCGATACCACCACCCATGCCTCCTCCCATGCCACCGCCACCAAACATGTCGGAGGGATCGACAAGGTCGGCGCCGGAATCGTATCTCTCGCGCTTCTGCGGGTCGCTTAGGGTCTCGTGTGCTTCTTGGATCTCCTTGAACCTGTCTGCAGCATCGGCATCATCGGGGTTCTTGTCAGGGTGGTGGATAATAGCCAACTTTCGGTAGGCCTTCTTGACTTCAGTCTCGGTTGCGTCTTTTTGAATACCGAGAATCTTGTAGTAGTCTTTCCTCTTGCTCTTCTTGAGCTCCATCTCTGCATCGCGGATCTCCTTGGCAATGCCAGGCTCCGAAGGGTTTTCTTCGGCGATAGCCTTGAGATCGCGCAACGCCTCCTCCCAGTTTCCGCTCTCACCCAAAGCCTTGGCCTTGGTCTTTCGTGCCTTTGTATAGCCTGGATCCAGCTCAAGTGCTTTCTCGCAGTCGGCAATTGCCTGCCTCCAGCTCTTTTGACGAGTGTGGCATAGGGCTCTGTTCTGCAGAATTTTCGAGTTTGTGTTCTTGTTTGCAGGGTCAACTTGGAGCGCTTGTGAATAGATATCAATTGCCTCCTGATATCTGCCAGACTTGAATGCAGCGTTGCCCTCTGACTTCATGCGATCCAGCTTTTGCACCATCCGCAGGTACTTGACTGCAGCCTTGAAGTCAGGGTCACAGTTCAGTGCCTGTCGGAAATGCTGTAATGCCTTTTCATTCTCACCCTGCGCGTAGAGGATACGGCCACGAAGCACCAGGGCATCTGGGTCTTGATTGTTGTATCGTAGCAGAGACATGACGACGTTCTGTGCCTCTCCCAGCGCATTAGGGTTATTCATGCGCAAGTGTGCTTCTCCCCGCATCAGCTGCCACTTTCTTGGTTTGTCCACACCAGCACCGAGGCCCTTCTCAGCCTCGTTGAGAGCATATATAACCATGGAACCTGAGCCTTCATTCCGTGAAGTCTCCTCTGCCATGCGTAGGTGCTTCTGCATGGTCAGCGCAGGCTGCTTGTCCTTGGTGGAGGCACCAATTGAATCGTACACCTGCAAAGCCTCATCTGGCCGGCCCAAGCTGGTGTATACTCGACCTAATCGCAGCAGAATCTTCATGTTGTTGGGGTCGAGCTCGTCTGCCATCTTGCAGTCCTCCATGGCCTCGTAGAAGCGGTTCGCAGAAATATAGGCAGCAGCGCGGTTGGAGTAGTAGGTAGCATTCTTGGGGTCGGCCTCGATGGCTGTGGACTAGTTAGTCTGCAAGTCTACTTGGTGGCTTGTAGCACAAGGCTGTGGGTGCCGGCAGTGCTACGTGCAAAGCGAGTATTGCCAGTGTAACGACGCACCTTTGGAGTATTCCTCGATTGCCCTAGGATAGTCTTTGATCTTGAAGAACTTATTGCCTGCAGCCTTGTATTCCTCAGCATCGATTGTCGGTGGCTGAGCGGGTGGTGTGGCGGCCTCAGGGGTGGCTGCATAGTTGGCGGTGGGTGGCGGCGGGCTCTTTGTATATCTGTGTGGTGGGGGAGCCGGCCCATCAGGTGCACCGGTGGTGCCGTTTGTCTTTGGAGCGTCTACCGCGGGGCTCTGGGGTGCGGGAGAGGACGAATGTTCCCTGTCCAGATCCATGGGCTGGGGCGTGGGCTGGTCCATGGCAGCGGACATTTGGACTGAGAGACGCTGACGCTCCTCAGGCGGCAGATTCAGCGGGTGCGAGTCACGGTCGTATTTGGACGAACGCTTCGACGAGTAGGAGCTGGAGCGGCGGGAGGAGCGTTCCCTGTCCTTGACCTTTGAATGTGACTGTTTGTCGGGTGAAGCGGGAGGGACGTCGGAGCTGGTCTGCTGTGTGGGCCTATATTTTTTTGACGATTTAGTAAAGAGAGAGGGAAGAACCATGGAGGCGAAGTGCGGGCGAGTAGCGGCCTGGTGAGTGACTGGGTCGCTGGAATTTCAGTCGAGCGATGTTTGGAGAATCCAGGGTCGATGAAAATTGGAGCTGGGATTTGGCTCGTCCCGTTGCTAGAACGTTCCATTATCAGCGAGGATAATCCCGCTAGCACCGCTGCCACACTATCAAGCCGCGGCGGACGTGCATGGGAAGGCTGGGGCGCGGGTCCCTCGGGCGGAGAGCCAATCCTCTGGGATATCCGTACTGTCGCGGCCTTTTTTTTATTTTGAAACACATGTGCATATTCGGACAGCGAAGGACACACATGGACCTTGCTTGTCTGCTGTCTTTCTCTGCCGACACACAGTAGGTCAGATGGAAGAACAGAGTCAGCTTGCGTGCCTCTGGTTCTGGTTCTGGTCCTGGTCCTTCAGCTACCTTTGACGCTACCTTGCACCACAACGCCATGGCCAAACGTTGTCGCGGCGAAACGAGACCAGTCCCTGAGGCAACGCAATCTGCGATGAGCGAGGCTGGGGTGCGCACTGTCAACAGATCGCCAACACCGTGCGCTTGGGGTGCGTGAGTTCGTCCACTCCCAACGCTCGCAACCCACCCCTTTGCATTGGCATGATGCGCTGGCTTTTTTGACAACCAGCCGACTCGTTTGTGTGCCAATGCAAGACGCTGCTTGTTTACATTTGCGTTGCTGGTGGCTAGATGGCAATGAGAGAGGGCTGGGCGGCGCGTCGGGCAATCATGTCCAGATAAACTTTGTTCTGTGCGTTGCTGGGTCCAGATGAAGGCGCCGAGCAGAGTAGGCAAAAGCTGGACGTGGATACACCGTAGCCTCACGCGTCAGCAGACGAGGTGGTAAGATGCGTCTGGCTCCATGGCCATTTCTATTGGCTGGTGCATTGACTGGTTCGCACTGTGGACCCCGCTCCGCCCCGAGCATACTTCACCACCGCCAACTCATAGAGAGCGTGTGTTGTTTAAACCATAGTGTACTCGGTACAAAACCCAGGCACGCCTCAGCAAGAGCAGTCATAACTTTCCACACATACATACCGCTAGCTGAACGTCCCGTGTGCCTACACTAACGTCCGCCTCGCCTCTTTCGTCATTCTGCGCCGCCATCCCGCTCTCTCTTCCACGCACGTGCCATTAGGTACCAGCATCCCGGCATCGCCTTCCAGCATACCCAGCCAAGGCTTCTACCTACTCCACATCTCAAGAGAGCACACGCTCTTTGGCGCAATCTCGGGTGCCACCGTCTTCAGCGCCCCGAACGCCCCAGAGCCCGGATCCGCACCAGCACCGTCGCCTCGGCCCTCGCCTCTAAACCCGGTCCAGCAGCACGTATGACAGGCGGCGACCAGCGCCCAGTGGCCACTTCTGACCTCCGTCGACGTCTTTCCAGACCACGCAAACACCACCCCGCCTCGACTGGCGAATCCGATCGTCTCATCATCACCATGGGTCTTTCGTACAACATCTACCTCAACTCGTCGCGCATCTACGGCTGTAAGAACTGCAAGACGCACCTCTCCAACCATGATGACATCCTCAGCAGAGTCAGCGCGCCCCGATGCCTACCACTTGTGCCGGAAAAGAATGCTAACATGTTGCGCGTAGAACTTCCGTGGCCAACATGGCAAGGCCTATCTGTTCGACAGCGTTGTCAACGTGACCGAGTCTGACCCTAACGAGCGCAACATGACTACCGGGCGTCATATAGTCCGTGACATTCACTGCCGCCAGTGCAAGGAGACAGTCGGCTGGAAGTACGACAAGGCGTACGAGGCCAGCGAGAAGTACAAGGAAGGCAAATTCATCCTCGAGGCGGAGCTCTTATGCACCGTCACTTGAAGAGGGAGGCAGCACTACACGGGGCTTGGCGTCTTGGATGGGCATTTGCGGAGTTTTGGATTGGATAAGGACAACATGACTGGGTTTATACAGACGGTGGTTTGTTTGCATTTCGGTTTTATTTGGTAGCTCTGACTGGCCGTCACAGGCCGGCCTTAAGTAGCACGTTGAACTCGCTAGCTTTGTTTGTCACTCCTTTACCGGCACCCTCGGGCGTGAAATCGGAAAGATGTGGAGTGATGTTTGCAGGCTTGCCACGGCGAACCGAGGCCCGCTTTGCTGCACTCTGCGTCATGACGCCATCCCGGTGCTTCTTTACAGGAGGGGTGCACTTTATTTCAACCCGGTCAAGCATAGGCACAGCAAATACGTGCATCGAGTCCTGCAAACTCTGTGCGTACGAGCCTAGGTGCTGTGTCTCCCTTGCTGTTGGCTGCTGCCCCGCCGAGGAACGAGGTCCGACTGCGGGGTAGCTAAGCAGTGCTAGTGAGCATGCTCCCACTCCTGTCACTCCCGCCACTCCCGCACATCGGCCTTGCATCTGAACAGATATTTTATATGTAGGGCGTGAGCTCCACTTAGCTGCATTATCTTGCTTGCGCCGGTATACATAGACACAATTTTCTTCACTGTTCCTCTTGTCCTTGACAACCATCAATTGCGCGCGTTGCACCTGCACTTTTTCCAAAGACAGCATGAAAGCTGTCATTTTCAAAGGGCCGGGAAAGGTGGAGATTGAAGAGAGACCTATCCCCAAGATCCAAGATGACAAGGACATAATTGTCAAGGTGGACAAGGTACTGTTTTGTCAAAGCACCAGTGTGCACTGCTAACCCCCTTTCAGGCGGCGTTGTGCGGGAGGTATGCTGGCACACTCTCACGATAGCACGGACTGTTTCTGACTAGGAAAACAGTGAACTGCATGTCTTCAGGGGCCACCAGCCATCAGGAACCGGATTTGTCATGGGCCATGAGTTCACTGGATATGTACACGAGGTAGGCGCGTCGGTCAAAACCCACAAGGTCGGCGACCAGGTGGTCACGCCCTTCACAACGTCGTGTGGAGAGTGCTTCTACTGCAGCCATGGGTACTCATCGCGATGCGTCAAAAGCCAGCTGTTCGGGTCTACTGGCCTGGACGGCGCCCAGGCCGAGTACGTGCGAGTCCCGCTTGCTGATTCGACAGCTGTCAAAGCTCCACCAGGGATCAAGGACGAAGCCTTGGTTTTGATGGCGGACATCTTCCCTACTGGCATGTTTGCAGCAAAGAATGGATTCCAGTTTTCGAGTCCGGAGGAGATCAAAGACAGCGTCGTTGTCCTCATTGGATGTGGGCCGGTCGCTCTCTGCGCGCTGTGCAACATCACCGACTACAAGCCCAAGCACATTCTCGCCGTTGACTCTGTGCCCTCGCGGCTCGAGCTCGCCAGGTCTCTCGGCGCCGAGGCGTGGAACTTCCAGACGGACCGTGAAGGACTTGACAAACGCGTCAAGGAGCTCACCGAAGGCCGCGGTGCTGACATTGTGATTGAAGTCGTCGGACTGTCACCCGCTCTGCGTATGGGCTACGAACTGATCCGGCCGTGGGGCGTCATCAGCTCCGTTGGTGTCCACAACGGCGAGATTCCATGGACTGGAAACGAAGGTTACAACAAGAATGTTAGGTTGCAAATGGGCCGTTGCCCCGTAAGGAGCGTGTTTGAGGAGGCACTGGAGAAGCTCAAGAGACATCAAGATAAGCTCGGGTGAGTGTAAAGCGTTTGATTGTGGGCAGCATGGCAGGCCGGCTTACACAGACAGGTTCATGGCGGACAAGATTATGCCGCTGAGCGAGGCGGTGGAGGGCTACGACTTGTTTGACAAGATGAAGGTGCAGAAGGTTGTGTTTGAAGCGCAAAAGTAGGAGGCGTAGGATTGGATGTAGTCGTAGTAGTAGTACATGTCTGTGCATGTACATGGTAGTACTAGTATGTCGACGTGCTCCGAGGAGGTCGAAAGGCACAGCCGCCCTCTTGCGAGCAGAAAATACAAAAGCCCGGCCAATGGGGTACTCTGGGCCTAGAAAGCTCAATGGCGGGCCAATGCTGTGATGCTGCATCGTGCTAGCTGCATCGCCGTGGGGACCAGGATGGCGGCGAGGCAAGGGCTCGTGCACGCGGGGTCTATTCTGTGCATGTGTTTGCGGATGGGGCGGCGCGAGCATGGTCGACGAACAGGCTGGCGGTGCATTCACGCCTGCACCCAAAGCCCTCGCCTCGTCCTGCCCTCGTAGAAGGCAATGCTGGCTGCTGTGCGAGGGCGGCTGCTGCATCGCAAGAGACGCGCAGCTGCTCCCTCTGCCTGCCCTCTTCTTGAATGCGGCAAGGCGTGCCCGTCCTCGCTAAGAGGAGCTTCAACCTGCCTGCCGCCCGAATATTGCGCGCTGCCTCCAGACCTGTGTCCCGCCCACTCCCTCTGCCTGCCTCGCTCCATTGTGTGTCTGCAAACCCGCCCCGAGACTGGCACCATCACCACATCTCTCTGCTCTCTGCTCCCGGCCCTCTCTCCCTCTCTGCCCCTCTGCCCCTCTCCGCCCCCTCCGCCCACCCTTGTTCCTTTTCCAGCTGTCCCGTCGGCCGTTCCGCACCGACCACCTCTCTCCCCCCCGCCACTTCCGTAGTCGCCTGTGAGTACATACAGCTGCTCCCATGTCCACTTCCACACTCGACCCCCAAGCACAAGCACTGACACTCGATCCCACAGCCTGCCCTCCCTTCTCCCCGTCCCTCTCCCCCCTCCATCTCCTCTCCTCTCCTCTCGCGTCCTACCGCCGTCCTTGCGACTTACTCTCTTCGCCTGTGAGTGTTGCGACGTTGCGCCAGTCGCGAAACTGCGTCACTAAACTGCGTCACTGACAACAGCACCAGCACTTTCTCCCGGCCATCCCGCAACATGTCCACCGAAGAGCCCCAGCCCGGTCCCGGCCAAGACGCCACCCGTGTTGCCGATCAACTCGACCGCCTCAACATGGACGGCGAGGGTGAAGTGGTTCCACGCACCGAAGAGGAGTATGCCGAGGCGCAGCTCACCCTGCGAGCCATTGTTTCGTCCAAGGAAGCCGGTGTCATCATAGGCAAGGCTGGCAAGAATGTCGCCGACCTACGCGATGAGACTGGTGTCCGCGCCGGTGTTAGCAAGGTAGTCCAAGGTGTCCACGACCGCGTCCTCTCCGTCACGGGCAGTCTTTCTGGCATATCAAAGGCATATGGTTTGGCTGCCAAGGGCCTGCTCGAGGGCGCACCCGCCATGGGCATGGGCGGCGTTATTCGCACTGACGGCACTCATCGTACGTACAAATTGCTATTCTCTCGCACCAAGGTAACGGTGCATGAAAATGCCAAGCTAACTTTTTCAGCTATCCGCCTCCTCATTTCGCACAACCAGATGGGCACCATTATTGGCCGTCAGGGTCTGAAGATCAAGCAGATCCAAGATGCCTCTGGCGTCCGCATGGTTGCCCAGAAAGAGATGCTCCCCCAGTCGACGGAACGCATTGTCGAGGTCCAGGGATCTCCTGCCGGCATCGAGAAGGCTGTGTGGGAAATCGGCAAGTGTCTCATTGATGACCATGAGCGTGGCTACGGTACTGTCCTCTACAATCCTGCTGTTAGGGTCCAGCCCGGCGTGGGTCCCGGTCCCGCGGCGAATGGTGGCAGCGCACCCGCCGGGGGTATGGGCGGCGGACGCTCGTACAACCGCACTGGCCACGGCGCTGACTTTAGTGACTCGCCGCCTGCCTTTTCTCGACGGTCCGGTTCAGATGCTGCCAGCAGGCCACCGCCCCCTACGCACACGGAGGACGGTGAGGAGATGCAGACGCAGAACATCAGCATCCCGTCTGACATGGTTGGTTGCATTATTGGGCGCGGCGGCAGCAAGATCAGCGAGATTCGAAAGACTTCGAATGCTCGCATCTCCATTGCCAAGGCTCCCCACGACGACACTGGCGAGCGCATGTTCACCATCACCGGTAGTGCCAGTGCTAACGAGAAGGCCTTGTACCTCCTGTACGAGAACCTCGAGGCTGAGAAGATGCGCCGCAGCCAGGCGCAAGAGTAAACGGCTACGCTAGCACATCCCTCCACATTGGACACGATTGTGGGTGGTGGTGCCTCCACGCCACCCATTGAAACTGGCGAGTTTACTGGGAGGCCATGCAGCCGCTACATGGTATCGCTGGTCCTTCACGTTCGACAGTCATGTGTACTTGTCATTCCCTAATGAAGGCCCACCGACATGAGATCCAAAAGCATGAGCTTGATTAGTTTCTTACTTGCTGTTAAATGATGGATACCACGGATTGTTTGGGGGCATTGTTTTAACTTTTTTTTATTGTCGAGAGAGAGAGAGAGATTGATATCCAAGTGCACGCTGAGCGGTTCACGAATGTCATGACGTTATGGCCTTTGATATCCGGATCGCGCATGTGCTCACGGGTAGCAGCGCTAGTATCCATTTTGTGGTTTTCCTGGCGAAGAAGAGCTGGAGCAGATATGAGTTTGGTCTCACGGCCTCGAGCTCTATGGCGACACTCCAATGTACTTTCCCTAATCACTCCCTCACCACCATCCCCCTGCTACACCCCGTCACTCCTACCGATACCTACCTACTAGATACAATCAATCAAACACATTATGTCGGCATGTGAGATGGTTTCTTGTAGCCAAGGGGCAGTGAACCCAAGTAGAGACGGAGGAGATGAGTTGGCCTTTGCACAAGAGGCACGGCGAGGCTGCGAACGGCTGGACCCTCGCTGGTCGACTAGCGCATGTACGTCATGGTGTCACGCTTTGACACGAAGCACAGGACGCAAGTGCCGTTGGTCCCCCCCCTCCCCTTCGCTAACAACTCAACCAGCGCCGGACCACTGCGGGTGGTGCACAACCGTCCAACACGTCGACAGCCTCGAGACTGCTGGCTATGGCGCGTTGTCGCCTGGACGAGTAGTGCTGGAGGCGCGGCAGCGCTTTGATGCGGTGAGGTTCGGCAGCAGAGCTCGCTTATCCTGCTGTGCTTGCCAGGTTTGGTAGTGCCAGGGATCGCCCAGAATGCCGGAGATTGGTAGACTAGAGAGCACCGCACAGCTTTGACGCCCGACCGATTTCCGAGGCTGGGATGGCAGCTGTCTTTTCATGAGCTATGCTGTTCTAGGAAGGGGTGCATAGTGGTTAAAGATGATTCTTCTTGACCGCACATTCCCTCTCTTCCCTCCCCGTCTCTGCACCTCGACAGACTTTTTTACCCGTCACTCCAACGGCACCAAACCAGCCCATACCAGTCACATCAGCACTACAAGACCATCTGGACTAGAGATAGCACCCAAGAAACATCATACCACCACCGGCACACTCTGACAGGATGGCGCCCGTTCAGACACAAACCATGACATCCCACCAGTTCGACAACCCAGTCACAGTCATCCGAGCCTCGGGACGGATATCCAAACCACCAGCGCGCTCAACGCGCACACAGAACAAGGCACTGCTGTCACATTCGCCACAGATTCCCACGGCACACCCAGACATCAACATCACATTGCTCCGCAACAAGCTGCTCCTGCAATGCCGGAGATACCTACCATCGGACCTCCTTCATGAAGCACTGGCAGACGGCATCTACTCCCGCGCTACGCACTGGATCACGCCGTGCTCGAGCGCGGCATCCAAATTTGGCAAGCGGAAGAGGTACTACGTGCTTGACTCGTCGACGTTCACGTTCCAGTCTCTTGGCAGCGCATGGGAAGCGCGGATCCTGTCAGGCGGCAGCCAGCCCATTGACGCCGGCAACGGGGTTGTCATCTTTGTCAAGGAGAGAAAGGAGTGGGACGCCTTTATGGCGGGGTACAGAAGGCAAGGCAAGCGAGCGGGGCAATTGATGAAGCTCAAGCAAAAAGACACGGAGAGAGGGTGGCGGGACGCGTGGAAGCGAAAGTGCGGTATGGAAGAGGGCGGGGGCAAGGAAGTGAATGCCGGGCCCATGTGGGTCTTAGTCAAGAGCGCTGTTGCGAAGATTGTCAAGGGCGAGGCCTGAGCCAGGCAACGGACGGGGGCGGGAGGAGGAGGAGTTTGAACCTCAAATGCGGCGGCTTAGGGCAGCATGAGGCGGAGAGGGCGAGGTGCGTGGGCGGGGCGGGGAGGGAGAGTGGTTAGCATCATCAGCAGGCCGGAAGCCAAAGGCTAGGCCTCGGCGTTTTTCTCTTTGCATCATTCTTAGCGAGCATTTTTTTCTAGACACGACCATTGACGATGGCTGGGGGGAGGCGGAGGCGGTAAGCGCGTTCCTCAGCGCAAACACCGGTAGAGTAGATACACCACACACATACAGGGTAGAAATACACGTATCCTTGATGGAAAACGCGCACAGAAGAGGCATGGCAGCACGGTTTTGTCTGCATTGTTTCACCCTCCCTTGTCTCGCTCTCGGCGCTTTTTTCTCTCATGTGCCCGCCTGCGCTCGCCCCCCTCCCCTCCCTTCCTCCCCGCCCTGAGCTTCAGACGTCCGCCCCACAGGGGACAAGGGCACGAGGGCGGGTGGCCACGCCGCTAATCGCCCACTGGTTCCGAAGCGCTAGCTTCCGAGTTCCGATCCCCGAAAGAGGCTCAAACGTGGCTCGTGCCGCGCACATTAGCGTTCTCCGTCCTTAGCTCCGGCGCGCCGCACTTGAAGCCACGGTTGTCAAGGCAGACCGCAGGCCCAGAGAGAAGAAAACAGGCACTAAAGCCAGGTGTTCACTCTCGCCTGGGTGGCGCTCTTTTTTCATTTAATATCGACATTACCCGGTGCACTTGACTCTGCGCATTTCTCCTTCTACGTTGATCAGGTGTTGGTTTTGTTTTCTGAGCGCTCATCTCCTGCGCCTGTCCACTCCTTTTAATCCCCCTCCAACCTTTCGTCGTCGACGCAAGGGACTCTCGCCAACAGCCGCATTACCAAAGTGAAAAAAAAAACATGGCACAAGCAGTGCGCCGCAAGGCCAATGAGACCAATGGCCATGCGCACCACCGTCTAGACGACGCAGTGCACTCGATTGAGCAGAAGCTGGAAGAGCAGGCGGAGCTGCATGCGCGAAACCCCCAGGAACAGAAGGAAGCAGGACTGTTCCAGCTCGTCGTTTGCGTCGCTGGTATCTACGGTAGCTTGTAAGTATCACAGTACCCATGTGCGCCAAAGAAAAAAAAACATCGCTGACAAGCAACTCACCAGCATGACATGGGCCTGGATCCAAGAGCGTCTAACCACCACCACCCACGGCCCCAAGAACGAACGCTTCACCTACTCCATCTTCCTCAACACGATCCAATCCGCCTTCGCCGCCATAACCGGCCTCATGTACCTCTTCGTCTCGGCGAAAAAAGACGCCAAAACCGGCATTCGCACCGTCGCTCCCATCTTCCCTTCGCGCAGCATTCTCCTCCCACTGCTAGGCATCGCGCTGACCTCGTCGCTCGCCTCGCCCTTTGGCTACGCAAGCCTCAAGCACATCGACTACGTCACCTTCATCCTCGCCAAAAGCTGTAAACTGCTGCCCGTCATGTTCCTCCACATTTCGCTGTTTCAAAAACGGTACCCCTTGTACAAATACGCAGTCATTGGCTTCGTCACCCTCGGCGTCGCAGTCTTTACCCTCTACAGCCCCAGCACTGCCAAGAAAGCCGCAAAGAAGAGTGGCGCGGTGAATGCAGATGCCTCGCAGACAGTCGGCCTGATCCTGCTCGCCGTCAACTTGCTCTTCGACGGGCTCACCAATACAGTCCAAGACCACATCTTCACCTCTTTCAAGGGCTTCACCGGTCCCCAGATGATGTGTGCGCAGAATATCATGTCCACGGCGCTGACCGTCTCGTACCTGCTCATCACCCCTCTTCTCGCTGCTACGCCCCTCGCCTCGTCGCTCGGCCTCGCCACCTCCGAACTCGCCGATGCGCTGGCCTTTATTACAAAGTACCCGGCTGTCGGCGCTGATGTCCTCATGTTCTCGGCCTGCGGTGCCATTGGCCAGGTTTTCATCTTCCATACCCTCGCCCATTTTAGCAGCTTGTTGCTCGTTACCGTGACCGTTACCCGCAAGATGCTGACCATGGTCTGGAGCGTGTGGTGGTTTGGCCATGAGATTACCAGTATGCAGTGGCTCGGTGTTGGATTGGTGTTTGGTGGTATTGGCGCTGAGGCCGCTATGGGAAGGAGGGAGAAGGCCAAGAAGGCGGCTGCGAAGAAGGCCGAGTTGGAGGCTGCGGCGAAGAAGAGATAGATGAGGTGTGTTTTTTTTTTTGTGGGAGACGTAGTTTTGGATCGGCATTCTGCTTTTCTTTTTTTTCTTGTACATTTTCACGCACATTGCCATTTTTTTTCTCGCTCTGGGAACTTTTTTTTTTTTTGAAAGACGAGGGGAAGCACATATATACCATAGATGAAGAGTAGAAACCCAACGTACAAGGTCACATCTTTGTCCACAAAACAAACAATCAAACAAACAAACAAACATCTTCTCTAATTTGCACCCTACTAATCCATCTACCCTTTACTCCACCACCCCCTTCCTCGCCCACTCCCTAAGCACATTCTTCTGAATCTTACCGGTACTCGTCTTGGGCAACTCGCTCACAACCACCACCTCCCTGGGCACCATGAAGCGACTAATATGGCTATTCTCTTTGGCCCACTGAATCACCTCTGCGCCCAGCGTCGCGCTATTCGACCCGTCCTTGGTCGTGACAAACGCCTTGGGGCGCTCGCCCCAGTGCGAATCCGGGACTGCGCAGACGCCGACTTCGAGGATAGCCGGGTGCGTCGAGAGCATTGCTTCGAGGGCGACCGAGGAGATATTTTCGCCGCCTATAACCAGAAAAAATTTTTTTTTAGTTTTTTGACGGTTTTGGAAAACAAATGGAAAAAAAAAAAAATTTTTTTGGTCAAAAGCGGGAAAGGGAAAGAAAAGGGGACGTAACGTACCACTGATGATAATATCCTTTGCTCGATCGAGAATCTGGATTGCGCCGTCGGGATGCCAGACTGCTAGATCGCCCGTGTGGAGCCAGCCTCCTTCCCACAGCTTTCGAGTTGCCTCTGCGTCCTTGTAGTAGCCCTTTGCGCAAATGTTGCCTTGGAAGATGATTTCGCCGATTTCCTGGCCGTTCTGTTCAACATTGGTCAGGACGCCTGCGGGCTGCTCGGGCTTGATGACGCGGAGGGCTTTGGCGACAATGAAGCCGTGGCCCTGGCGTGCCATGCGATTGTATTTCTCCTTGTCGGGCAGTGTGTCCCACTCGGGCACGTGGTAGCCCTTGGTTATGGGTCCGTACGTCTCGGTTAAGCCGTAGACGTGGACGGGGCTGAGGTTCAGATTTGACATTTGCTCAAAGAGCCAGGCTGAGGGCGGGGATGCTGCTACGGTGACGCGGACAGGTTTGGGGAGGCGTTCGGCTTCCTTGGCTGCGCAGAGTAGTGTGTTGACGGTGGGTGCCGCGTTAAAGTGCGTTATGCCTTCTTCCTTGAGCAGGCGCCAGATTTCCGGGTAGTCAATCTTTCGAAGGCAGTAATGTGTGCCCCGGACGGCGGTGACGGACCAGGGAAATGTCCAGCCGGTGGCGTGGAACATGGGCAGTGTCCAGAGATACTTTGCGCGGCCTGAGTGGTAGTTGAGCCCGGATTCAATAATATTGCCCATGGCTGCGAGATAGACGCCGCGATGTGTGTACTCAACACCCTTTGGTCTGGCTGTGGTCCCACTCGTGTATGCAAGCGCAATAACGTCTTCCTCGTTCTTCGCATGCGACTCCAGGCTCTCCCATCCTTTACCGCCCTGCTCGATGTCATACTTCAGTCCCTCCAAGACTGCGTCGTCAAAAGGACCTGAGAGCTCGCCTTCGGTGGCATCCATGTCCGTGTCGACTAGGACTGGTACATCCGGTTTTGCCTTTTTGTAATCGTCTAGCAAGCTCACGAATTCCGCGTCTGCAATAATCATGTCTACATCGGAATGTTGAAAAATGTAGCTAATGTCATCGGGTTTGAGCCGATAGTTGATGGCTACGTTGACAGCTCCCGCAGCCGCAATTCCAAATATGCTCTCCAGGAACGCTGGCGTATTGGTTGCCAGTATGCCCACCCTCTTATATCCATGTTTTTTCAAGTAGTATGCCAGTCCTCGCGCGCGGTCCGCAGCTTCGGCATAGGAACGCCGCAGGATCTGGTTGTTGGCAGTCTTGTGGTATATTGCCAAAGCATCAGGCTCAATCTGTGCGGCGCGCCAGAGAAACCATGTCGGGCTGAGCGTGTGGAAGTTGTGTCTGTGGTGGTATTCGTGGCTATCGCCGGGTTGGATGGGCGCCGGACCGGGTACGGGGTTTGCAGAGGTGAAGTGTGATGCGAGCTGCTTGAGGCGGTCTTTGGCACCCTCCATGGTGTATTTCTTGTGTCTCACAACAATTGGGATGAAACAAGCTTTTATACACACGAGCTCCAGGGGCGATCTACAAGCTTGGCCAAGTTAAGCCGAGCTATAGACGCGTGAATGCGGAGTAAGTCGCCTGTGGGGTTCAACTGCGAGAGATGTCCGAACTTCTTCGCGCCAGGGTACTGGAGGGTTGTAATGGCAATCTCAATAACACTTGAAAGGGGCACGGGCGACAAAAAAGCAAAGTTTAGATAGATCACGACAGAATGCCCAGAAAAGACGCGTTCAAGCAGCGCTGCGTGCGTGGACACGCTGAGTCGCTACTACTGAATCGACGTAGGATTGGGGAAATCTGGGGGAGGGATCGGATGCGAAACGACGTCAGGACCGAGGTTAAGCGCTTGCTGGCCTGTCATCTTGGCCATTGGCCATCCGGCCGTCCTTCCGAACGCGGCGGTTCTGCGTGCACATTGCCTTGTTTGCTTGTGCAAGATAACAATACGAATAGCACTATTCGGTCTGGTCAAATGCATTGTCAAACGAGACTGAATTGGATTAACAACATAACCGCCAGTCTATTGCGAACGCTCAACGCCATCAACATGCTTTACATCAGCTGTGATTTTTCATTTCGTATTGCTTCTAGCCGGAAGAGTACCTGAAGACACAGCAGACCGACCGCAAAGAGACCCATGAACACGTAAGCACTCTGGTATTGATGTGCTCTTTTAGCCTGGACACTCTTTCGAATGGTCGGAGTATAGTAGAGGAAAGAAACATCCCATGAGCCAAATGCAATCCACGCCGAACCACATCACCGAAACCGACACTGGTCATCAACTGCCGTTTTCTAGTATCCGAGGGCGGTAAGCTGCTCCTGGGTCTTGCTGTCCACGTTGGCCGTCTTCTTGGCCTCGGCCAACTGCCGTCGGAGGGCCTTCTTGCGCTCGTAGTAAGCGGCACCCTTGACCTTCCTGCGCTCCTCAAGACTGCACAAAACTTTGTTAGCAACACGAATTTGTCTGCGGTAGCCATGAAAACATACCGGGCAACAACGTCCTGGTACTTCCAGCCGAACTCGTGGCCGAGACGTCCGACAGTGCAGTACTTGCGGCCGGGCTTGAGCCTCAGTACCCTCAGGGCCTGGGGAACAACGACGCGCTTCTTCTTGTCGTAGGGGGCGGGGATACCCTCAAAGGTCTTGAGGCGCTCCATGGCGGCGGCACCACGAGCGGTCTTGTGGGGAATCATGCCGCGGACAGTTCGCCAGAACATCTTGGAGGGGGCGCGGAAGTGGAAAGGACCTGAACGGCGGATTAGCATGCCGTCGGCGAATTGGCACACAGCATAATTCTGGCTGTAAGAGTGCCGCAGATGTACGGGGGAGACATACCACCGCGGGTGGGGTTGAAACGGGTCTGCTTGCGCAGGAAAGCCGAGTACTTCACTGTATGGCGCTGTCAGCTGCTGTAGTTTATTTATTGGAGTGTTCCGAGAGCGCTTCGCAAGAGCAGCCACAATGCATGTCAACAATCACTCAATGCCCTTTGGCCAACCCCTTTTCATGTGCATTCATTGTGGCCTGCTGCCTTCATCGCTTGCTCGTATTCGGTGGGTGAACGTACGCTTCGCGCGGAAGAACTCGCCGGAGATGTTGAGAGCCTCACATCGCACGACGACGATCTTCTGGCCATTGAGGAGCTGCTTGGCGACAGTGCTGGCGAGGCGACCGAGCAAGTGGCCCTTGCCGTCGATGACCTGGGTGCGCTGTCAGCGAGAGGCTCCTTGGAAAGCAGCTTGTGCATTGGTGTTGACAAGAGGCGCGGGCTGGCACGGCGACCAAGTGCAACCGCCTGCGCTAGAAATATGCGGCTTCGTGTATTCGGGGCGTACGTACAATGACGGGTTCGAAGGTCGACATTTTGCTCGACTCCGGTGTGCTGTGAGGTTAGTTGTCGTGAAGAAAGAGCTCGTTGCAGCGGATTCCAATACCACCACCAGGCTAAGCGAATATTTCCACTGGTGTGTGTGTGGCCCGTGCGCGACTTAGCGTCGCTCGAGAAGCCTCTGCCCGTCCTCTTCAGCGCAAGATGCTCGTTTGGGAGGCGAGGCACCTCACCAAGCTCGAGAGTTTTGTGCAGTATACTGGAGTTCCGTGTTGTCTTTTTTTGTTGTGCTTATCGAAATCGGGTGGGAATAGTAGTACCGTGGTGCTGAGACCACACCCAGGGAGTACCACGATTCTCAGAACGGCCATCTCCAAATCCGCCAAACACCTCTGTGGTTTCTTTACGCCCGTGGCAGTCTTGTGCGATTTACAGATACATTACATCTAGTGACTGCGGCAGTATCCATTCAGATCCCATACACGACTGACGTTGAGCGTACTTGAACGTGAGAAAAATTGTGCAAAGTCGATTTTTGTACTTTGCGCCAAGTTCCCAGCACATCGACCTCACAACAGCTTACAACAATAAGGAGCGCCCGAGTTTGCCTACAGATAAAAGGACATGTCTGAAAACACCCGAGTTAAGAAGCTGTCTTCACAACAAAACGGCAATTGACTCGCTCCCTCTTTCGATAATGCACTCACAACAACATATCCTTGGGTGATTGTGGCAGGTACGCCTTGTAACTCTCGGTTTCCTGCATTCGCACAGATTGAGGTGTACTACTCTCGAATCTTTTCGACGAACGCACAGTCGCTGTTGATTGCGACGCGAAATCGCTGACTGATTGGTTGTCTCCTCTGCTAATCGCTTTCACGGTTGTTTACTGAACTAGCTATCGGCGTCTATTTGATTTTTTGATCGTGCTATGCCGGTGCGGATGAACTGACTATCAATCAACCAGCTGAGTCGTGCAACTAATCTTTATGGTTCTATGTACCAGCTGTACCCACTCACCCGCTAGCACTTGTCCCTTGTCACAAAAGAAGCCTCTCGCACACGGAAACCCATATACAAGGTTCCAAGCAAGCCTGTTGTGCATCAGCCTTGAGATTGCATCACTCGGAGATCTATGTCCGTTTAACACGAGAAATAACCGCAGAAATGCCGTCAACTTACCGAAAAGCTTTTCGTGTACCCCAACTCCTGTATACGCAGTTATTAAATCTTGGAGATCGGAAATAGTCGATCATAATTCATCTCGTCCCGACAGCACCAGGCTGCGTATGCCGTCTCATGAGTCTAGTGGTTCAATTTCCCATACCCAAACTCCGCGTGCGAGACAGGCTTCATTGCCTTCATCTAAGAAAGCGGTGGACTGAAACCAACTGTTATTAATGCATAACACAAATGATATTTTCCGAGTTTCGTTAGTGGTGTGTACTTATCTGAATGGCCAGGCCTGCTGACAGGACAGGGTTATCAAGGCGTACGCTCACAATTGCACGTCTAGACTCCAAGACCTGGTAAGCGTGAGAGCAACAATCTTGGCATTTCATCATGTTTATGCATGGCTCATTCCAAGTGTCAGCGCAACGCCGAAAGTCAAAGTCATTCACCGGGGGCCCAACCTGATGTGCGTAGCTGACTTTTTCTGTGTCTTGGCTATTTCTCACGTACATACATTTCCAATTCGCCAATGCACGGAGCAGAATCTTTGCAGGCGACAGATGTTGGTCAACCCAATCCTACGGATGTCGTCACAACGATCGCCGCATCCCCTGGACTTTCACCTCTAGGCTTTCCACAATCTTACACACGTTTGGGTCCAACGATCTGGCACGAAGCCCAGTTGTCACTAGTAAGCAACGGCTCCATGCAAACTATGTACTTGTTCGCTACTAGTTGGCGTAAAAGGTAAAAACTCGGCTTTTAATAGTCTCTACGTTCAAGAAATCATGACTAGAGCAACTTTGCAAGGCTGTGACGTCTGCGCAAGCCAACGCCCGACGAGAACGTTGAGATCGATCGGGGCTGTTTATGCCGAAACTGGATATAAACCAACAAACAAGTTCGCAATTATTGCTCGGTGGTTAGTACTGCCTAGACGCTATGCGCTGGCTGTTGACCGCATGTCTTTCAATACGATCGACGCGGTCGTTAAACTGTGATCGAACGCACAGATGTGCAACCCATGTGACATTTGACCGTCTGTTCGCAGACGAAAGGGACGGTTCCAGTGTGCTGTAATATAGATACTCCAAGGATGGCCTCCCAATAAGAGCGGAGAAGGGGCCGATGACGGATGGAATCTCGTCCGTGGGATAACGCTTTTCCTGTTCGTTTGGATGGGGTAATATGGGCTTTGGATGGTTGCCGTCGGCTAGCCACGTAGTCATGGTTCTGGCTGGCATGCTGCCACACTAAGTCGTGTCATGCGCCACAGCAAAACGCAGACGACTTGGCAGCCCTGAACATCTGCACATCTGCCCTTGGCATTATGCACGTAACCTGCTTCTCAGCCACGTTTCAAGCAGTGCAACACCAGCCGAGGTCGCGACATGCGCCACTCCTTGGGAGGGTATTGTTCCAGGTTTTTGAGTTGTGGCGCAAAAGGAATCGGACGTGTTTGCTCTTTGTGTGGCTAGGGGCGTGGCTGGGGCGTGGCTAGTGGTGTGGCTAGGACAGTGGCTATGACAACAGCCGGTGCATGAGACGCATTGGCATCTCGGCTTACATGTCTATTCGCATCCTGCGACTCATGGCAAGCAGCCAGTCAGAAGAGCCCATTGAGCTGAGCCCGCTGAGTCAACCGGAAGTCGGCACCTTTAGCTCGATAATATGCGCCACTAAACATCGTACCCATCAAAAAGATCAAAAAAGGTGTTCCCACCTCCAACATCCGCATCCGGAGCTCTCTTCATGCCAAGGGGCCTTGTTATGACGCAGGTGTGCAGCATCGGTACTTCCGAGAGGCACGAATGGGGTGACGCTCTACTTTTTCCCCTTTTTACTAAACAGCAATAGGCCACCGTTTCTCAAGGAATCTCTTGGCCTGTCTTCAGGAGCAGACTTCGCCATGTGTGTGTGCGTGTGACCGTATTGCGAAGGAGTGCCTCGCCAGCCCAATCCGCTTTATCGGTACATACATACAAGGAACCTACGGGGAAACTAACACGGGAAACCCGTCTTCCCCCTGCTGTTCCAAAAAAGGGCAGTTGGCGGCCAGATGGCTTGCAACGCGGGTATGGACGGATGCTGCCCATATGTCAACCCTCCTGTTTTGTTCGGTAGCTGGGCGCATACAGTCTCGCAATGACTCTGCTATGCTGCGTAGGTCCATACATATCACGCTGACAAGAGAAAGAGCCAAGGCATGGCTGGAGCACTGTGCGATGAATGAAATCGGTGAAGCAACCGCCGAATGCATAGAGACTAGGGTCACCAGCCGCAGTCAAGCCACGCTGTCATGTTTCTGGCGACTTTATCCGACGCTAAAAAGGTAAGGCTGGGCAACTGGGTCAAGTGGAGAGGACGATGTTTCGGAGACTCGCCCTTGTCCACATCCCGAGAGTTTGTATCTGGAGGGCATGAAAGCCTTGCAACCGGTTGATAGCAACATGACGGATTTGTTAGTAACGATATAGGGTGGGCACCTTGGCCGCAAGCGAGAGTTGTTGACTGATGATCGTTACTCGAACAAGAGGCTTTAGAGCGCACGAGGAGCAACAAAAGAAGGCCAAGCTGTGACGGGACAGCGGGTCACGCCACTAGTAGGGCCCCCGGCGGTGCAGCGCCACGGCCAAAAGATCCGCTTCTCTTCGCTTCAATATCCAGAGTGTATTGTTAGGCAGGGCCCCAACTGGAGCCGTACCATATGGCTGCTTCTTCCGTGGCGTAGATGGCGGCTCAGTAGGACCCCTCACCTGTGTTCCCCGTGGCATGGGCTCCCAGCTGTGTGACGCCACAGGGCGCAGATTGAGCCATGGTAAGTGCTGACCACTCCACCACGATAGTGGTGTGCAGCTCCCACTGTGCGTCCCAGGAGGTCTGAGTGCCGCCAAATCACTATTGCCACTGCCGCGAGTGGGGGCGGGAGCCCATGAGATAACCGTCGTTCAGGTTCAGCAGCCAAACGGTACAGTAAATTCGACGGCTTGCTTTAGGCAAGGTCAATAGATGACTGTGATCTTATTCATGGGGTTCCCAAGGCTACGTGCCGAGACCAGAACCCAAAACCCGAGCTTGGCCTACAGGTAACAATAGAAAACGGACACCTCGGCGGACAGCAACGATTCGACTATTCGACTCCATCCATCGCCCAAGCCCGGCGGGACGGTGCCCATGCGACATGCGACGGCGCTAACCCTAGAACTAATACGTGACCCACACGCTTCTCCGCCGCAGTATAACCCTGTCGGAAGCATCCACCAGTTTACTCTTAGGCGCAGCATCCCCCCCCAGCCACAGGACGCGATGCTCGATGCTCTCCATCTGCCAACCATGACTTCCCCGGCCATCACGACAGCTGAAGACCTGCCGGCAGAATCTGTTCGCTCCGCCCCTTTTGAAACCCAACAAGAAGACACATCCGAATTCGGCGAAGAAAATTCGGAAACTAATGACGTCGGCGACGATCAGCCACCCAAACCACAGCCTCAGAAAAGACGACGGGTGACACGTGCCTGTGATGAATGCCGGCGCAAGAAAATCAAATGCGACGGCAAGCAGCCGTGCACGCATTGTACTGTCTACAGCTATGGTATGTTGGTAGCCACGTGTATAGCCGGAAATAATCCTGTCGTCGTTTGAACCCACGCTAACACGGTACAGAATGGTAAAAAGCCCTCGGATGGAACCGGACAATGCAAAATCTCAAACTAACACCCTGCCAGTACTTACGATCAACCATCAAACCGTCGACGGAACGCGACTCCTCAGTACATCGAGGCCTTGGAGAGCCAACTGAAGCGTGCCAAAGCCCTATTGCAGGTGGTGCTCCCAACTGTAGATTTAAACGACCCCGCCATCGATGCTCACCTTCAGAATGGATTGCTACCACAGCCCCAGGCGGCTCCCCGACATCCCATGATGCCCATGGAATCACGCACGCCCCAGCATCATGTCCCTTTGCAAAACGAAGATGTTCCTGACTCACATCTCGAGGCCATGGTCAAGGCGACAGGCCAGCTCGATCTTGACGAAGAGGGAAACTGGGATTACCAGGGCCATTCTTCCGGACTTAGCTTCATGAGGGGACTGCGTCAATTTGATGACATGTTTCAAATTCTACCAGATGCTTCACCGTCCTTTAAGCAACGTACAATGTCCCATGATGCCTCCTCGCCAAGTGCTCTTTCCATAGCTGGATCTACGTCCTCAGCGGCCAATGTGGCTCTTCCCAGCAAAGAAGAGGCACGCACTCTGTGCGACAACGCTATTATCCAGTACACTGCCATGCTCCGAGTGGTCCATCTTCCTACTTTCTATGAGCAGATGGAACGTGTATACAAAGTAGCACCCGAAAATTATGGAAGTGCCGAAACTAGTTTCTTGCCTCTGCTTTTCGCTGTGCTAGCCCTGGGGACGCTGTATTCAGAAAATGAGCAGGGCGCTGATGTTACGGGCTATGACGCCTTAACTGACGAGGGGTAAGTGATTCTCCCAACGGATGCCAGCGCCCCCAAGCTAACATGCCCAGACTCAAGTACTTCAAGGTTTCCCGCCAACTCCTGGACATTACTGATTGTAGAGATTTAACATCGCTTCAAGCTATTGTTTTCATGATACAGTTTTTGCAGTCATCGGCCAAGCTTAGCACATGCTATGCTTATATTGGAATCGCCCTACGGTCAGCACTGCGCATGGGTTTGCACCGCTCGTTCAATGTCACATTCTCGCCTATCGAATCCGAAACACGTAAACGTATATTCTGGGTAATCCGGCGAATGGACACATATGTTGGAGCTATGCTTGGATTGCCGCGATTCTTAGAGGACGAAGATATTGATCAGGAATGGCCGGCCGAAGTCGATGACGAATACATTACAGAGACTGGTATTCTGCCTATGCCAGAAGGAACCATTTCCGTCATGGCTGCTTTCAACGCTCATACTCGTCTCGTCCAAGTACTGAACAAAATCTGCAAATATGTATATCCTATTAAGGGTACGCAGTCGGGCGGCAAGCATTCAGTGACCTACACTGTGGGTTACTCCAAGATTCGAGAGATTGAGAAAGACTTGGCACGCTGGCTAGATGAGTTGCCCGCCGCACTGAAGCCCGGTGGCGAGGTCCCACCTGTTATCAAAAGGTATGTTTAGCCACTTTTTCATGCTTGTTGCATCCGCTGATAGACATGACAGGGTTCAACAGCTTCTTCGCATGGCTTTTGGACATGCACAGCTCTTGCTATACCGGCCATTTTTGCACTATGTTTCCCAGTCTTTTAGTACCAAAGCTGTTGACCAGAGGGCATTTGCATGCGCCTCTGCCTGTGTCAACATCTCCCGTAATATCATCCACATCTCCACGGAAATGCGGAAGCGCGGTGTGCTGGCTGGGGCATATTGGTTTTCCATGTACACGACATTCTTCGCTATCGTATCAATCCTCTACTTTGTATTGGAAAACCCTACTAGCCCCACCAGTTTTGAGTTGTTACGAGATGCTGTGGAGGGCAAGGAGGTCTTGGCCTATTTTGCAAAGAGAAGTCTGGCAGCGGATAGGTGCAGTATTGCGCTTGAGGTATGCAAAACCCAAACACAAATAAACTCGTTACGCTAACCAATCTCAGGGCATGTTCGAACGGCTACCAGAGTCTATTAGGCACGGCGGAGAGATTATTGCATCAAAGAAGCGCCGACAAGGAAGTTCACCGCAATCCTCAGGAACAAGACCTACCTTGGCCAGTCAAAAAGACACGACAGCCCCACGACGAGCGAGCACCTACCCTGACAGCATTCCACACATCAAGACGGCTGGCCCTGGCCCATCGTATTCGTCTCCACACAGCCATTTTGCTGCGATTGGCTCAAACTCTTCGTATCCCTCACATTCAATATCTAACCCTAACTTGTTCGATGGTGTTCCGGGTCTCACACCTACCTCTTCCAATGACAGTCTGCCAAGCTTTGGTATATCCCCTATACATGACGCGCAGCAAAGCTCGGTCTACAGTCCTTCGGTCTTAAGCAACTCATTCACAGATCCATCAGGCATGAATGTCCCAATCGCAGACATCTCGACTATGATGTTTCCTTCTACCGATCCTCTTGCCTATCCGAATCAGCCAATGACTGCTTTCGAAAACAGACATCCTCAAGCGTTTGATCGCACCAGTGTTCCACCGGTGAGCAGCGGCCTCCCACACTCAATGTCATCCGGCATAGACGTAAAG